CAGACAGACAGACACACACACACACACACACACACACACAGACTGACACATGGATTCATATTCGTATTGCACAGAATTAGCTGCTCTTAATACACACTGTTGGTGGCCAATATGAGTAACTCAGGAACTTAAGTTGTAGACACATCAGAAATAACTCCAATCATTGAATATTAAATTAAAATAATAATAATAATACAAACTATTAACGTACAAGTAAAACTATAAACTGTTGTGGTCATTGTTTCACAAAGATAAAAGATACATTTACATAAATATTCACACAGGGTTTCATAAATCCATCAAATAGCAAAATTGATAGCAATCACATTATTAAAAATCTAAAAGTGTAAATTAAAATAATAATAATACAAACTATTAACGTACAAGTAAAACTATAAACTGTTGTGGTCATTGTTTCACAAAGATAAAAGATACATTTACATAAATATTCACACAGGGTTTCATAAATCCATCAAATAGCAAAATTGATAGCAATCACATTATTAAAAATCTAAAAGTGTTTTTACTGAAATATTTTATATATATATATATATGTGTGTGTGCTGTGTATATTTATTATGTGTGTATATATATATATATATTACTAGCATATACTATTGTATGAAATATTATTCATTTTTAATGTTTATCCATTATATATATTACATATTATTATATATATACAATATAATAATATAAAATGAATAATCATATTTGTATATTGTAATGATGATGATAATAATAATAATATAACAATATTACTGTAATATAATTAGTCTTATATAAAAACATTAAAATAAATGTATTAATATTTGTAATTCTCATATATATATATATATATATATATTAGGGCTGTCCTCGACTAAGGATTTTTCTGGTCGACTAGTAGTCGTTCATTTGAAGCATTAGTCGACTAATTGCACATTTATTAATAAACCATTTTAATCATTATAATGCCAAATATTTTCAGTTTAAGAGATGAAGTCGGCATCTGACTCGTCATCTCCGCAGTAGTGATGCGCCTGTCTGCATATTTCATACAGATTACATAAACGGAGAATATCTGTTTTCCATTTTAATTGGTTTATTTGAAAGTAGATATTTCACTCTCTATAGATATATTTTTTTTATGTCTTTAAGGCAAATATAGCCTACACTGAGTTTCTGAGTTAAACATTTATCTAAAGTAAATTTATCTAAATATAATTATTTATTATTATTAATTTATTTTTTGTAATAAAAAAAATCTAAATCTAAATTTTTTTTTAAAAACAACTAAATAATTGTTTGTTTTTCAGGTTTCCCGTGCCGTATGATCATAAAATGCCTTTGTTTGAGTGAAATGTTGTAATGCTTAAACTAAGCTCATGGTTTCATATTTCAAATCAATCAACCTACTAATGGTTTACTTGTGGTCACTCTGAATATTAAGTGTGTGCGTGTGTGAGTGAGAGAGAGTGTGTGTGTGTGTGTGAGAGAGAGAGTGAGTGAGTGAGTGAGTGTACGTACTTGTTTATGCACCATTGTGAGGACCAAATGTCCCCACATGAGGATAGTAAAACCTGAAATTTTGGACATTGTGGGGACTGCAGGCCAAAAAAATAGTAAATGATGTTTATCTGAAAGTGTAACAGTGCAAACAGGTTTTGTGTAAGGGGTAGGATTAGGGTTAGAGGATAGAAAATATCGTTTGGTCAGTATAAATGTAATAGGAGTCTATGGAAAGTCCCCACAATTCACAGAAACAAACGTGTGTGTGTGTGTGTGTGTGTGTGTGTGCAGGACGTGGTGGTGGTGGGCGAGGAGAACTTCACCACTCCCTGCTATATCCAGATGGACGAGGAAGCGTGTCACATCCTGACGGAGACACTGGGCACATACTGTCTGGTGGGTCAGTCGGTCAGCACTGCCGCCGCCAAGAGACTGAAGCTGGCCATCTTCGGCCCGGTCAGCTGCACCGTCCTGGAGTACAACATCCGAGTCTACTGCCTGGACGACACGCAGGACGCGCTCAAGGTCAGCAGAGCAACAGCACACCAGTTTGGTCACATTGTGTTGCTCACGCAGCTTTACAGCCCACTGACTCCTTCATAAACCGTCCTGTCAGGTCACACATTAGGAAGTCTGATTCACTTTAGTGAATCTCTTCATTCACATTCCTGCCAACTAGACGGCACACTGACGCTCACATCCGCATGTAAACATGTTGTCGGCGTGGAAGTTCTTCATTGTAAGTGAAGCAGACACAAAGTTCGCCATTTGTAATACAATATTGACTGTTTTTGCTCAAGTTCGCTGACGAAGTTTCTATCAAAGCCAGAGCAGAACTGTTTTGTGTCCCCGAGCAACACATCGGTGTTTCGGTACTGAATGAATCCACGTTTTTGAACGAATCGAGTTTTTGAACGAATCGAGTGAGACAATGATTCAATAACCCATTCATAAAGACAGTAGTCACTTACCTCGTTTCTGAATTAATCAGCCGTTTGAATGAATGACTAATGACTCGCTCATTAAAACAGTCATTTACCATCATCTACTGGTTAGAGTTGCATTTTTAATAAAAATAATAACAACAACAGATTGTTATATTATATTGTTATTAATATATAAATATTTTTTATTTTTATTACTTGTATTAGTGTAAATGTATTCGTTTAAGCAGACTGCAGTAGTCGACATAGACTAACCAACAATATGCATATTTAGAAAAGAATCTTAGCCAAGATTAATGAATACTGTTCAAATATAATATTAGTTAACTAAGAATGTGAACAACTTAACTCTGAAGTGTTCTGTTAAAGTGAACTGCTTTCTGCTGATAGTTTGTAGTTGAACTCTGTTGACTTCAGAAGTTCAGCACGACTTGTTTATTTACTTGAAACCATGAGCAGCCTTAAACTCGCCAAACTAACATTTCACAGTCGCTTCATCCACACACTGTGTGTGTGTGTGTGTGTGTGTGTGTGTGTGTGTTAGTGTGGGTGTCAGCAGCAGATGTAGTGTAGGTGTCAGCAGGCATGCGAGAGCATCATCTGAATATAAACAATGATATGAATCTGATTTCTGTGAGGCCTGGACACATGAAGCCGCCGCAAAACCACTACAGTGTGACGTGTGTGTTCCTGCTGAGCGCTGACGGACTTCCTGTGTGTGTGTGTGTGTGTGTCCGTCAGGAGGTGCTTCAGATGGAGAAGCAGATGGGCGGGAAGACCGCTCAGACACGCGAGTCACGCTGATATAAAACATCACTGCAAGAGACATGCACAAACACACTTTACTATCAAAACACTGAATCAAACTGACTGACACTGAAAACACTGAGAGCAGGATTATCACCATTAACTCGAACCAATTGCCCCCCGCCCCCCAAAAAAAGAAATTACAATTATTGACATTTTTAAAATAATTTTTTAAAAACAACTAAAATGAATAAAATTGACAAAAACGTACAACAAAATCACTGAAATTTTCATTAAAATGTAATTAAATAATTTAATTAATTTATATATATTTATAAAATTATAAATTTTATAAATGTAATATACATTTATAATAAATAATTTTTACATTTAAATAAAATTAAAAAAAAGATTAAAATAAAAATTTAGAATATTTATAAAAAACTATAGTAGCATATTACAGTTTTTTTCAACTGCTTCCACACAAAATCTTTCCTTGTCACACAATTTCTGAAAGCTGACCCTCAAACAGCAGAAGCACACACCAAATCTGCAAAACCATACACTAATTCTCTGCCTTTGATTCGGTTTTCAGTTTCATAAAACACTCTTTGCAAAACACAACACACAGTTCTCTATGTAACACACCTAAATCTAACAGGAATTAATATTACGGCAAAGGTGTTTGCAAATGTTTGCTTTTGAGACGTGTTTGTGATGTTTTGAATGCATTGCTTCATTTTGCAAGAGATGAGTGACGCATTTTGCATTTTGTGTGTGCAACTCTTGGATCTGTGTGTAAAGTTTTGAAAAAAAGAAGCAAAGTTTTGAAAATGTGTGCAAGCAGTTGAAAAAAACTGTAATGGTAAGTGAAAAGTATTATAATAGATGCCCAAATACACTTTATAATCAACATATTGATTTAAACACGTTGAGATTAGGTTATTATTGTTACCTGAAACTAAAACCATAAAAAATATATAACCATAAAAATAGAAATTAATGATTAAATGACAGTGCCTATTACACCATATTTTAGATGTGAAACATTTATCAGGTGTGCATAGGGGTGTGCGATATTGAGAAAAATAATATCTCTATATTTTCTGGGATTTTATCGATAACGATAATTAGACGATATTTTGCTGAGTGTGTTATTGTGCTGGTATCTTAAGGACTGCCCACTTTACTATCAAAACACTGAATCAAACTGACTGACACTGAAAACACTGAGAGCAGGATTATCACCATTAACTCGAACCAATTGCCCCCCGCCCCCCAAAAAAAGAAATTACAATTATTGACATTTTTAAAATAATTTTTTAAAAACAACTAAAATGAATAAAATTGACAAAAACGTACAACAAAATCACTGAAATTTTCATTAAAATGTAATTAAATAATTTAATTAATTTATATATATTTATAAAATTATAAATTTTATAAATGTAATATACATTTATAATAAATAATTTTTACATTTAAATCAAATAAAAAAAAAGATTAAAATAAAAATTTAGAATATTTATAAAAAACTATAGTAGCATATTACAGTTTTTTTTAACTGCTTCCACACAAAATCTTTCCTTGTCACACAATTTCTGAAAGCTGACCCTCAAACAGCAGAAGCACACACCAAATCTGCAAAACCATACACTAATTCTCTGCCTTTGATTCGGTTTTCAGTTTCATAAAACACTCTTTGCAAAACACAACACACAGTTCTCTATGTAACACACCTAAATCTAACAGGAATTAATATTACGGCAAAGATGTTTGCAAATGTTTGCTTTTGAGACGTGTTTGTGATGTTTTGAATGCATTGCTTCATTTTGCAAGAGATGAGTGACGCATTTTGCATTTTGTGTGTGCAACTCTTGGATCTGTGTGTAAAGTTTTGAAAAAAAGAAGCAAAGTTTTGAAAATGTGTGCAAGCAGTTGAAAAAAACTGTAATGGTAAGTGAAAAGTATTATAATAGATGCCCAAATACACTTTATAATCAACATATTGATTTAAACACGTTGAGATTAGGTTATTATTGTTACCTGAAACTAAAACCATAAAAAATATATAACCATAAAAATAGAAATTAATGATTAAATGACAGTGCCTATTACACCATATTTTAGATGTGAAACATTTATCAGGTGTGCATAGGGGTGTGCGATATTGACAAAAATAATATCTCTATATTTTCTGGGATTTTATCGATAACGATAATTAGACGATATTTTGCTGAGTGTGTTATTGTGCTGGTATCTTAAGGACTGCCGAAGACCGCTGACTCCTAAAGTTTTTAATATTCTTCATATTCTGTGTGCTGGTCAGTTCATACTGATAGAAATTAATCTTTTCCAATAAGTTTACACTGATTTGTGCATTTTATGGGCATTTTTACCTTTATAAAGCCTTTTTTTCTAAAAGTGTCCATTATCTTTTGAGTCAAATTCTTACATTTAATCAGGGAATTAGAATAATAAGACATTTGGGCTGTTACCGAGCAAATTAAATCAACACAGAAGCTGCATCTGAAGCTGCATTTAGATGTGTTTACACACATGTATTTTGTTTAATGCAAGACATGAATGCATTTAACCTGCAATTACAAATGCATAAATAATGTTTTGATATATTAAACATAAAACGTAGAATACTGATATTTGAAATTATTTAAAACATGAAAAAGAGGAAAAATAAAAGAAAGAAAAAGCCGAAATGTGTCATTAAAACCGCCAGCAGGTGGCAGCGAGTCACTCTTAATGCGTGAGTCATTGCGATTGAACCGAATCATTTAAACGGTT